GGATTGCTCTGATTTCATTGGCTTGCATTTAGCTTATATTTTAACAGCTTCAAAGATGAGGTCTAGGAAAGTAATTTTAATAATAGAAGACTGGGTTTTGAGGCACGTTTCTATGGTTTTTTTTTTTTCAGGCTCAGGATTGCTCTGATTTCATTGGCTTGCATTTAGCTTATATTTTAACAGCTTCAAAGATGAGGTCTAGGAAAGTAATTTTAATAATAGAAGTAGAAGACTGGGTTTTGAGGCACATTTCTATGGCAAAGAGTCATCGTAGTGTTTTTCACAGGTGGCCCCTTCCTGCAGATCTGCCATTTAATGTTCTCCCAGAGGAAAAGTGAAGGATGTAAAACTGCAGCAGCAGGGTGTAGTTTTTCTTTAAGCTATTCTTAAAAATTACCAATATATGAGTGGCTTTGAATTAATTTTCTACTTGTGGATTCTTGGTAATAAAGCTGTATGTAACGTTTCCTTTTTTTCTTCTTTTTTTTTCCTTGCCTTGCTTATGTGTGCTTTCATACATACACAGTTTGCTATAATGACTTTTTAAGAATAGATTAGCAGATTGACTTCTTTCAGGTTATAGCAGCTTCACAATACCTGCTGCAGTAGAGGGATATTGTGAATAAGGCATTAGTGCTTATCTGTAGAAATGTGTACGCGCTCTGTCACACTTGGAAAGATTAGCTTGGGGCTAATTTAAGTTGACAGCTGTATAAAAGGGATTAGTACCGTCACTGCTGAACTCTTGTGGTTAACTTTCACACATGCTAAATATGAGAGATAATTTTTTTAAAGCTTGGACCAGTTTTTCATAAGCCATTTATCTTGATTTCTCTTAACCCTGAGAGAGCTGAGACTGTAGTCTACGGCATCATAGCCTAATGGTGTGGGATTTACTGAAGTACTTTAAACACATAACTTGCTTCATTTTAAGTTTTTATTTGTTGGGGTTTCTTTTTTGCATATAATTGGCATTGTTCTAAGGAAGAAATGGTTTACTTTGGGTGTGCTTTCAAAAGTAGAACTTTGGAAAGGAAATTGAGGAGGCCAGAAAGTGGCATTTTGTTTTCTTTGTGCATCCTTGCCATGTGCAAACCCTCATTTATGAGTCTACAGCAAAACTAAAATATTTTAATTCAAATTGAGCATTTGGTTGGGTTTTTTGTGTAGTGGTAGTAGTAGTTGGTGTAGTAGTAATAGTGCGGAGCTCATAGGCAAAGTGAGTATTTCTGAGGCCCGGGTGCCCCTTGCTGTGGAGATTAGGGGCAGGCTGTTCTCCCTGCCCTTTCATTTTAACTGGGGCGATTTGTGTATTTGTCACATAACTGTGGGGACAACTGGACCTTATATTCAGCCATTCTTTCTTCTATCAGACTTGTGTGTCTCTGTGTCCCCTTTATGAGGGGTGCTGGTGGTCAAGGCTATCATCTTTAGCTTCATCTGATCAAGACTATCTTCAGCTTCACATGCACAAGGAGCTGTACAACTCGTGGGAAGAAGCATGGAAATGGCTAGTTTTCCCATGTGTTAGAGGGAAAAGAATGGCAGAACTGGGGTTTTTGTCTTGAGTGCAAGCTCAAGGATAGGTCCCAAGATGTTTCTTGTCTAAAAACAGCTCAAAAATACTATCCATAGATGTTTTTCTTAGTGTGCAGTCAAAAGCCAACTATTACTCATCAGTGAACTTTCAGAATCACCCTCCAAGGCTAAGGCAGCAAAGTCCCACCTGTGATCAAATGGCCGGGAACAAAAGAAAGAAAAGTCACTATCATGATGTGCATAGTGTGTTTTATTAAGATTGAACCAGCTGCCCCAGTTTCAAGAGTTGTGAGTCCTAATGTGTAAAGTGAAATCAAAGGACTATTCACAGGCTAAGGAACCATGATGAAGTATATTCCTGTAGAAAGGTTCCTTTTCTTTTCACACCTGTTTTGGTTTTTAATGCTTTCTGCTTCAATTTGAAGCTCTAAACTTGTCACACCAACCAAATCTGATAAGCATTCTTTGCCTTGTCAACAACAAAAATCTAGGAAAATCTAGTGATGCATGAAAATCTTAATGTTTTTGTGCAAATATACTCATCTGAAGGCTGACTTCACCAGACTGAATATGCCCTCTTCATCTAACAAGCATCTTCTGAAGAACTTCCAAGGCAACTTCCTTCTGTATACCATGGAAATAAATTCAGACCCATTTTTCCCAGATCAGCAGGATTTGAAAATTTACCTATTAAGGAGGGGAAGAGAAAGGTGTAAGACAGTATGTTAGTGGAAATTGGACTAGAAGGACACTGGTCAACACAAAGGTTTTTTTGTCCTCATTATCTTCTGGGTATCTTGCTTAGTTTTTTCAGCAAGCTTTGACAGACAGTCAGACAAAGTTACTTTAAATAGGACGATGAGCAGCCTGACCTGGTGCGCTCTGCAATTTCACTGTGCTTTGTGGGAAAGAAATGGTGGTTCCCTTACAGCGTCCAGTTCATCTTTACTTTTGCAAGCTCTTCTGACGCCGTGCTGATAGCTAGAAGGAGGGAGGAAGGAGAATTTGGGAATCGGTATTGCTCAGCCCTGAAGTGAGACCATGCTTAACCACATTTGTGTCCCACCGGTCTGGCTCAACATCTGCTTCTGGGCTCTCTGTCCATTGCTTTTCTCATGTAATACCTGCACGCTGATTATCCAAAAGAGCTGCTCATCCTTGTGTTGTGATCGCAGAGCTTGCTCCGTTACTGTGACCTACAGCTGTCTTGTTCCTTGTAGTTGCTAACTATTTGATCTTTTTGGGAAAGCGTAGCTGGATGATGTGCCACACGGTAACATTTTGGGAAGTCCATACAAATAACATCAGAGTGGACTTCCCTTCCAAAGTGTCATTGACTTCAGTCCAAAGACAAGCTGTGTTATGAGTTATATTCATTTACACTGAACTTGAGGCAGAAATTTTTAAAACTTTTTCTTGCATTGTTTTTGTCTTCTTTAATGTATTTTAAATTTCCAGCATAAACAGTATTCCACTTTCGGACCTTGCCTATTTTAATCCTGTATTTAGTCCGTATCATTTTGGCAGGTGTTAGGAGCTTCTAGCTGGATCCTAAAGTGAACTTGGCCCAGTACACGTACCAGTGTGATTGCTGGTAGGAGAAACCGTATTTTCACGTGGGATCGTTGCAAGACTCATCTTTATGGCTGAACATTCACTTCTTCCTTGGTTAATAAAATGAAGGTTTTATTCAGCCCTGTGGATTTAGAGAACCGATTCAGAGATGGCTTCAGTTTCTGCCCACAGTGGACAATACTAGTGGGTGTTTTGGTTTTGATCGGAGCAATGTGACAGTTACAGTAGTGAATGAATGAAACTGTTTAGGCTGCTTGAAAAGCTGCCTTTCATCTGCGGGAGAATGAGAGCAAGGAGGAAATCTCTTTCAAGTCAATTCCTGGTGCAGAAATAAATCTTGTGTGGGTGAAGGGGGGGAAACAGCCACCTACCTGGAAATCTAAGACTATAAATGAGATGTCACAGAAAAAGGCAGTGGCATCTATTCAGATGCTAATCCATTAAGGGGGAAAAAAAAAGGGGGAGGGGGAGGGAGAAAAGCCAGCAATACTTGTATGAAAGGGTTTCTTTATGGTGTCTCTCTAATCATCATTAAGATAGTTGAAATTATAACACAAAACTGGAGGAACGTATTGTCCGTTGTCTATAGGTGAGGTATTCATTCATCTGGGTTACTTCTGTGTTCCTGGGCTGGGTGGAAGCTGGTGTCCTACTCCGGGTTGCGGGGTACCGCAGCTGGAACGAGGAGGGAGGCTGGCTGCGGCTCCTGGAGCCTGCCAGGCTGGTGGGGAGAGGAGGGCTCTGTGCTGCCCAGTGAATTGATTTATTCAGCGTCAAAACAATTACAGGTGCCCTCTGCTATTCTGAACCCCCAGCCTTAAATTGTAAGTCCCAATAAACAGCAAAGTGCCTGTGGATATATCCGCTTTTTTCTACCTCCTTTTTCCTAACCCTTAAGGAGGAGATGAAGAGCTTTTGCATCTGCCTGGGGTTAACAAATTAAAGTTTCTGTGGATCAAACGAGAGCAGGTTCCTCAGGTAAAGACATCTTGCAGGACATCTTGCAAGCAATGCTCCTTCACCTCGCCTCATAGAATCTGCTTTAACCTTTTGTTGTGGGCTATGTTTTCCTCCAAGTATGTAAGGCAACTGCACTGGAGTTTTTTTGGTTGGAATTTTTTTGGGGGGATGGGAGGTGAAATTTTGCCATTATCCTCTTTTCACCTTGTGAACAGCAGGAAGGGTGTTAATGTATTTATTTCAGAAACTTGTATATGCCAGAATGGTAGAAAGTCACTTTTATCCACAGTAAATAAATAAAGCACCTCAACAACAGCCCTTGGTTGTCATTGTTTAATTCTTGTGATTATTGAATACAACCAGCATTTCCTAGGAAAGGAGTTGTTTACTTCCCCAATGAGCTGTATTACTCCTTGGTATTGTTCGTAACCTGAAAACTGATAATGGAGAAACAAGGCGCATGTTCAAAGTTGTCTAGTTTAATAAATATTTAAGATTATAGGTCAGCTAATTAGATAAATAACGGAGTTAAAAAATTTTCTTGAGGAAGAATGATAAAGACATGGTTAGGAGAAAAATTTTATTTCGGTGATTGAAATTTTTTTATTTTATTTTTGGAAAGGCATGGATTATTTTGAAGCAGATAACTTGTTTGCAGGGCTTTTCTTAATAGATATTTGTAATTTCTTATGGGACTTTCCACTTTTTGAGCAGAGTTGGAGTGTTTTCTTTGCATTTACAGAGAGAAGCATTTGACAGCATCTTTTTGTAAGATATCTAAGAAAGCGGCAACTTGGGAGATCAACTGGTCTTTTGGTTATGGCTTTGCTTACTGTTGCTTTATCAGAAGCGTTAGGGCCCTTGCAAGCTGGTTTTGTGCTCTTGCACGCAGCCTCTTCCACTTTCAGCTGACCTTTCCTGCCGGGATGGCTTCCTGCCTGGCACAGCCACTGCCTCAACGACAAATGCAAGTTGATGCGTCTCCTCCCTTTCTCTGCAGCGCTTTTCTTTTTAGAAACACTCGCAGGTATGTTGGTGTTCCAGGGTGAGACCCTGTGCGCTGCACAGATAACACGCACAGCCTCAGCCTTAACCTATGTGGTATGAGCTGCTCAGACCTTTGCTCGAGTAGGATCTCTTGGCCGTCGCAGGAGGTCTTACAGACGTAGTGGAGCTGGGGGTGCTCTCTACTACTGTGGGAAGGAACTTTGCCTTGGTGAGGGAGAAGCAGATCGGACTTGGGGTGGTTGCAGGTGGCTGTCGGTTACCCCACAGCTCAACTAAACTGAGAGGGTAGGTCAGGCTCCCTGCTTACAGGTTTTATTTCTTAGCTCAGGCAGGTCTAGAGTGTGCGTGCAGCCAGGTCCCACACTTCTGCAGCGGCAGTGTAACTCCCCAAGCTCTTGTAGCTCTTCTAGTCCTTACATTTCAAAAAGCATTTTTTGTGCACACTGCGTTTGCCGAGCATTGTTCAGAATTTCTGCTGAGCTCTTTGCCTTTACCCATTTTTTTTATGTAGGTGTGTTACATACAAGCTTTTGCTAGACTTGTGAGTTTAAAAAATACAGGTACTTGGATGACTAATTTTTTTCAGAAATTTTTTCAGAATCTATTTTTTTTTTCAGAATTTGAGATCTAGACCTGAGTAAAACTCTTCTCCTACAGCACAGCTTGGAACTTTTGTTGAAGCAAATACAACTTAATGTAATCTCACAGAGCAGGGTGCAGGGAGGAGTAAAACAACCAGAGAGTATATGTACTGATATCGATGTGAAAAATAGAGGGCTGAATAGGAATGCTTCAAAAGACTTGAGCTGGTTTTTTGGTTTGGGGGTTTTTTAATTTGGTCGGGAAACTATTATCAAACCTGTATTGGATTTGTTCAACTGGTCTGTTTTGTTTCTTTTGAGATAAACTTAGGATTTTATAATCGGTGACCTTGGCACAGGAGTTTGAGAGCTCTGCTTGTTGAATGAAGAACAGAAAAAAGCACAGTGTGACCTACATTTCCGTTCAGTCGGATGGGATTTGAGGTCTCGCGAGATACCAGCAGAATGCTAATTGTGAGCCAAACGAACTAGCTGGCTCCTATCTGGAAGGTTTGCTTTTAGCTGAGGACGTTAGTCTCGTAAAGTACTGAAGTGTCCATCAAGGTTGATGCAAGTACCTCTTTGAGTGTGAGCAAACCCCACCACCTCACCGTGCAGGCTTCAGGCTGTTTGCAAAGCAGGTTGTATTTTTACTAGCACGACTATACTGTGAACTAAACCTTAGGATTATTTGTTCATTATGGAGCAACGTGTTTGATACAATAGAGACATCTAATTCTGTAAAAAGAGGAGCTTCTGATCCGCATTAGATATGTCATTTGGGTTCAACTTTGTAAAAGATTGGATGGGAGATAAATAGTTAATGGGGGAGAGGTGGGAAGGGGTGGAAAGGAGTTGATCATGCATGGATGTAATCAAACAGTTCCTTGAGGAATTATGGGGAGAGAAAACAAAAACAAGAATTCCCTTGAAAAGATGTCTCTGAGTAAAAGCTAGAGAATTATATAGGCCTCAATCTTTTTTTTTAATTCCCTTTTCTCTGCATTTTATTATTATTTGCATCCATGATAAAATGGAAGTGTATGTATCAATGTATGATTGGAGGGATTTTTTTTTGGTGGAGGAAGGGGTTTTTTTTAATTATGTGTGAAACAGTAGTGCTTCATCTCATTGTGTTCACTTTACTGGAGGATAACTTTTTTTTTGAGGGAGACAAAAAAAGTGATGTGAAGGGGAACTGAAAAATCTTAGGAAACTGAGGCACTTCCCCTGTGGAAGGAGAGGCATGGTAGATTTTTCCATAGAAATTTTCAGAGGTCTAATTAGGAGTTACCTTTTGGAGATACGAATATCTTGTTAGTTCTACTTTGTCACTTGTATAAGCAGCTTAGATGTGGTTTTTGTCCTGATAAGTTACAGTCTGGGAGAGGAAGGAGGAAAGACAACAGTGAAATCAGCATTGGAAAGCTGGTTGAAAGAGTTGCCTTGAGGAGGGATTTAAGAAGCTGCAGAGAGAAAAGGATTTCAAAAGGCAGCAAAGACAGAGATGTTTGAAGCTGAGTAGAAGGTCTTACCAGCTTCTGTGCTAGGCATCAACTTCTCTATTCAGTCTTGCCAGGTTCCTTTTGACTATTTCCCATTCGAGCAAAGTGCTTGGTGCGCAGGTTCAACTCCAGGTGTTTCATGGTAGCTGACCGCCAAGCTGGTCTGTTAGGTCACTTTGTTCTTGTAGCCTTTCTCATGTATTCAGTGCCTTGACAAAGTTTCTTGGCAAGAGCTTCATAAAATGATACCATATTGTGCACAACTTAACGTGCTGTTAAACATCAGAACATCTCCTACCATACAAGTCCTGAAGTCCACCACTAAGCTCAGAAACCAGAGCAGCTCCGATACTTTAGTGATTTTTGTAAGGAACGGAGTGGTAGGAAGGCAGCGATTTTTGTAGGGAGTCACTTTTGTCTCTGTTAGTCTTCCACTTTTATTTTTTTAAATAGGATTGAAAACAGCAGCATCAGTCAGGAGACTGATCAGCTAAACTGAATATTGATTAGCTCCTGATACGATAAAACTACACTTTCTGTGCCTCTGCAGTATTTTAATCATGCTTGTAGCATTTCAGACTGAAGGGGTGTTGGTAAGCTAGTTTAAATGCTTTGGTATTTGTGCTTCCCCCCCTATTTCTGAATATATGCTTCCATTTTTCCTAATGTCAAGAAAAGTTTTCAGACTGGAAGCTTCTTGAGTCTCACTGTTTGATCTCCCATTGCTCAAAGGTGAACACTACAGGGGGTGAGTGGTTAAACTGCTCACAGGTGCCTTGCAACTAGATGCTGCTTCATCTCTGCTCTGTGTGTGTGTCACAAAATAGTTTTGTCCACAGTTGGTGTTTATTTACCAGAAATACTTGTAAATAACTGGTGATATTGTGCATACAGATGTCAGACCGCAGTGTGTGACATTCGACACTGCAAGGAAACTTTTGGTTTCTGAAAGCGGTTAATTGTAGTGGATGCACATTTTTGTAGAAGATGACTGTTTTTTCTAATCAGAGGCAGGAATACTCATTTGCATGTCACAGGATCCTGTTGCTCCTCGACAATCAAAATGATATATTACCTTTAAGCAAGGCTGACACAGAACTGGCATTTCTGCAAGAGCAGGCAAGCTGGGGCAGAGTCCCCTGCAAGCCTTCCTTTGGTTTTTGTTTTCTTTTCGTTTCAACAACCTTCAGCAAGTGTTCCTGTTACATAAAATTTTACTGTAATGAAAACATTAGAGATCAAGAAGTCAGGTATGTCTTGAACTTGTCATCAGGATTATGATGTGCCTTCAAGCTGTTTTACTTTCTGGGGAGGCAGCAGTTGTTTTTAAAGACATTGTGTACCTGATGTGAAACTGGGTGTTTGTCCAGCAGTGGAAGCGCTGTCTCTTACTAGTGGTCAACTTGTTAGGTGGCTCAAACCTCGTAGTGAAGAGGAGTGGTTAGGTAGTGTTTGTGGAGGAAGACATGCTGGCATCAAAGTGGCAGTGTCTTTGCTTGTCTGGAACAAGACATGATCCCGGCTTGCACAGGTTTTCCCTATGTGAGCCCAGGACTGTCAAACCATGTGTCTTACTGAACGTGGTGTCAACTGATGCAAAATTAGTCAGTTTGTGATGAGATTCTCATGTAGAAAGTGGAAAACACGTTTGAACTTGGCTGTTCTGAGACAGGTGATAGTAACCACAGTATCTTGGCTAATGCAAACTTCTGACTAGGGTTTTAAAGTGGTGGTGGTGGAATAGCTGTTATTTCAGCTTCATCACTGACGGAAGGAAGATGAGCAGTTGTGGTGCAAATCTCAGGATACCCTTGGCTGTCCAAAGCTTGTACAGAGCTCTTAGTGCTGATTTCTGCATGCCTGCAGCTCTTGGTGCACATCTTCTGATCTCTGTGCTGCAGGTAGGACAGAAGTGTGAGGGTTTGAGTAGTTTTTTTGTGTTGTTTGTTTTGGAGGGGGAGGTATGTTGTTCTGCAGTACTAGAGGGGTATGTTTAGTATGCGTCTCTGTGTTGCTGTGGTACATGCAAGCTTGACTTGCATGTTGGAATATAAGGCAAAGCCTTTCCTTTGTATTTTCGTCACAGCATTTCTAATATATGCCCTTTAATAGCAGTTGCATATTTCTCTGTTCCTTTAGCACTAACAGCTTTTTAGATTGATAGCAGGTATTTTGTTTGTGCAAGACTTGGAACTGGACAGAATGCACACCCTTCATTATTCACTGTAGCAGAGAGGCTGGCAGGTAGAAAAGCAGCTGGGAATCTCATGTTTCAGCTAGGAGGCAGAAGTGTTATCAGCCTTGACCATCAAGTAGTCCCTTTAAAGAAAGGTATGGTATGCCTAAGGGTAAAATATGCTCATGATACCATTGCTGTTATTCACATAGTTCTGTGAAAAATGCTCGTTATGCCATGTGTAGGTATATGGAAACAAACAAGTACGAATATGTGTGTGTGTGTATATATATATATGTATGTCTGTAAGAAAGTCAGGTATTTTAATTCAGTTGGTAATTTGCAATGCTTCTGGGCTGTGGGTCCGTACATCTTGAGTCACATATGAGATACCGAGGGAGGCTTCTGTGCTTTGCTAACTTGGACATGTCCCTTGTTATCTTTTTTTGTTTTGTTTTTTCCTTAGGGTAATAAATGCAGGGAAGAGCACGCACAATGAAGATCAAGCCAGCTGTGAAGTCCTGTTTGTCAAGAAGAAAGCTGGAGGCACTAATTCTACACCAAACAAGAACTTTTCAACAAAGCGGAGGTCATCACTGCCCAATGGAGAAGGTCTCCAGCTGAAAGACAGTTCGGTAAGCAGACTTCTGTATCTTGTCAGTGGAGAAGTGCAAAATAAATATAAAAGGATGTGGCAATATGACACTAAAAGATGTTTACTGAATGTTTCATATATTTTCATTTACCTATTATTAATTATCTCTGCTTAAATACTGAACACTTAACTATTGTTTTCTTAGCTCTACTACTTGATTTTTTAATTTCTTGCATTGAAAAATGCTCCTTGTATCTAAGACATTTTATTTAAAGATGGGGAGGGGAATATTCCTTGTATTTTCCTTCTTATTTTTTTCATTTCTGAAAACACAATCCTGAGAAATTTACTGGTGCAGAATACTGTGAGTTTAATGGCTGTGGTTGACTTATCCAGTGACTGTCACTGCAGGCATGGCAGTGTCACCGTTTATACAGTCATACAGTTTTATTAAGGGTTAGGCAGTCATTTGGGTTCTTTTCACTGAAGCAGTATGGTGTGTAGCAAGGTTGGTTTATACAGGTAGGGTAAGGTCATCCAACACACTGACTTCAGTGATTTATGCAGACCACAGCTCCTCTCTTTGTGTGGAGAGTGATGTACGTCATGCACTTTTCTGCTGGCAATCATCTGCTATTCTTCATCTGTCTTGTTTCCTGACCAGCTAATTACTTCGTCTGCTCTTTAAGCATGAGCTCAGGCTCCAGCAATGATTGATAGTGCGTGTTCGATGTGGACATGTAGCTGTGTAACACTGAACACCTTATCTGAATGTTGGAGTGGGACAATGTGGATATGCAGTCTTTCTGCTGCTGGGAGAACACAAGTTCTCCCTAAGTGATAGGGAAACTATCACTTTGAGTGAACTAGAAGTACCCTGTTTTGGTTTTTTGGTTTTGTTTTAAACTAGGTTGTGATTAGCAGTCTGCTTCAGTCTCTCTCCCCAAGCCCCATGTCTTAGTACACCGGATGGCTACAGGGGTCATGGGGGTCCTGAGCAACAAGTGTTCTTGCACTGTGTCCCTCCCCACCTCTTGCTTCTCCTGTTGTTTCATATTTCACTGTTGTTGCAGCATTTTCAGACTCTAACAGATTTTCCAGCAAATAGCCTTGTTCTTTCCTCTTTCAAATCTTTCCTTAAATCACCTATCCCGGTTCCTATGTGCTGATATTCCTCATTGTATTCAGACAGTCATGACTTTTTTTCAAGTACGTATTTGCACACTTCTGGATAAAGTAGTGTGCCCTGTACTTGCTGGGACTATGAGTTCTGGGTACAGTCATGCAAGGCAAAACAGAATTTGTTTTAATAGTCTCCATTTTGAAAAGTCTTTCCTAGAAAGTCCATGCAAGTGTCTGCTATTGGCTCATGTAGACGCTTGGTTCCATGACTATATTTAAATTTTGTATGCATTAATTATGTTTAACGAAGCAAGCATTTGGCCACAGTACTTATTCACATATATAAAACACATCAAGGTAAGCAGCAACGTGCTTCATCTGGGCGATGGGCATTGATGTGTCATGCACACAGCACACTGCAAAGACCCCTGTGCAGACACCAGCCTGGGTAGACACGTGCTGGTGCTGTGCAGAGGTACTAGCTTTGGTCTAACACCACATTTAAGTTCCAGGCCTACCATGTGAGGTAGCTGGTCAGTGGCTTCTGCATCTGGCATGGGGGTGAATGTAGCTGTACTGAATTTGCCTATATTTTTGTATTTTGAGAGCGTGCATGGGACACAAAAAGCTTTGTGGCATTGTTTCACAAAGTCCAGTTAACTTCCAGCTTCGACTACTATCAAATGCTTCTCAAGAGCAAACGGCATACTATGTTGTATATACCATACTGCATCATTAGTCATCTTCCTCAGAGGGAACTTTTTTCCAAATGTTACGTAGTTAATATGTTTAGATTGCATTAAAAATACAGGGATATAAAACTTTTTTGTTATTGGAAAGATGTCTTCACTAGCCTTGGTGGTATCCATCATTACGGTCATCATACTCTTATGGTATCATAATGGTAGGGTTTATACACTGACTGTGTATTTTTGAAAGCTGTTCTTTTTATCCATTTTAAACTTAATGATTGTCAGCCTCAGTAAATATCCAGTTACCCTGTGTTATATGAAGTATCTCGGGGAATTTTCTGATTTCTCTTCCTCTCTTCGTTAGTGTATTTCCTACTTTGATTCTGTATCTTTCATCTTGATTTTGGAATAAACAGCTTTCAAGCTTTTTGAGACAACGTTTTTATTTCAAATCTTCTGTTCTTTCTGTCATATTTCTGACATATTTTGACCAGAAATGAACATTATGTCTGAAGCGAGGAGCAGGCTGATCTGTATAATATAGTGTACTGTTTTCACGCTACTTGTTATCGTGTTCCTTATATGTTCTCTTCTTATCTACAGATTTACTTCTGTTTTCTACATGACACTTGAATAAGTGCTATAGCACTCATTATTTAGCTGTGTAAAACCTATTCTACCATGTTATTAGATCACAACTTGCGAATTTTAATTTGTAATATGTTTTCCCAAAACAGGCAACATATTTCTGGAGAAAGTTTTCTACTAGAGGGCAGTCTTACACCAGCAATTAGTAGGATTTTTTTCTTTGGTACATTTTTTGCTGGTTGAATACATCTGAAAAGGAAAAAAGAGATGTACACGTTCCTATAATGTCTTATTTTTATGGTTTCATATTTTTATACTGTGAAATATAACATTATGTTTTGCCCTCACATAACATTGTTAGCAAATATTTTTTTAAGGAGTGTATGAACTTGGTGTTAAATGTTGATGAGGGTGCAACTTACTCTGTATCACTGGGATGTAGAAATACAGGCTTGAGACACTCCAGTGAATGGTACAACATCGTCCCGGCAAGTATTTAGTAAGAAAGCCAGAGGCTGAATACTGTAGGTGCCTCATAGGGAAATCCCACTGTAACACACCACCTGAAATTTTCTCCGAGTGGTGAAGGACCTTGTAGAAATATTGAAGGAAGAAGGGATGAGGGAGACAGTTTGAGTATTTGTCCGATGAAAAGAAAGATTTCTTCTGTTCTTGTTTTAGTGTTTTAAAGTGTGGAGTGTGAGGGAAATAGGAACTGGAACTTAAACTCTCTTGATTTACAGAGTCCATTTCATTGTCCTCAGATTTTTCTTTTTTTCCACAGAATTTTTGAGAAGGCCACATGCCATCTTTTTTTTTACCTTGCTTTCTGAGAAGTCTGTAAAACTTAAATGGCAGCAGCATCTGAGGTTGTGTGATTATCGTTGTTTAATGCTAACCCCATCAATGCAGCCCTGCGCTTTGGAGTCGGAGATCCACAGGTTGCCCACATGGGTTGGGTGCCTCTGTCATGGCCTTGACTCTGTGGGTGGGCTCTGCAGAGCTTTGGGGCGTGGGAGGAAGGAGGTGGTGGGCCAGAAATGAGGAGATGGAGACCTGAACGTTTGTTTAGCCTCAACACCCGCAAAAATCCAAGGAAACCTGTTAAAGAGCATAGATACGGTTTTCTTCTTGAAAGAGCAGGTGATAAACTGAGCAGAGCAGTGAAAGGGAAGACTCTGAAAATTCAACCCTAAATTAATTCTCTGCCCTTCCCCCCCACCCCACTCCAACTGCTGCGTGATTAATCGTGTTTGCCCTCTGTCCCCATACGAGAGCATTCACTTTAAATTGTGCAGCTTTTTCACTGGTACCATTTTTAAATGCCTCTAACCACAGAGTACCTTGATGATGAATACTGAAGACCATCAATGAGTGAAATGGGAATCCTGTGCCAGGATATTATCATAGTCAGGTTGCAGGACTTAATGTGATGCATTATTAATTGTCATTGTAATGTGAGGATACATAATTATTAATTCTGCAGTTTTCTTTGCCACAAAGATGGGTCAGAGTATTTGATTTGCGTGACACAAAGCTGGTTGCCTACCACAGGTAGCTGAACGTATCATCGGTAACTTGAGGAGGCGTTTCTCTGAGGATGGGGTGGCAATTGCCCACCCAGTTCAGATTTTATGAGAACTAAAGATGCATTTTAATGCATTTTGTCAGTGTAGTTCATATTTGGAACAACAGTAGTCAGGGTGGGTTGTGGTTTTCAGAATAAATCTTTAGTAGCAACATGATTTATTTGCCTGTTTGGAATTAGCTTCTTTTAAGAAAAAAATCTGAAGGTTTGCAATGAGGGACCGCTGTCTAGCTCTACCTGAAAGATTTGTCCCAAATTGATCACTATATATTGCTAAGGCTGCCCATTTTTTTGTCTATAACTGAGCTCAAATTATATGTAGATATATATGCATTTTCTTTCATGATTTCTCATCCATTACTTGACCCAAAACTTTGCATGTCTTAATTATATTTT